ATCGGAAGATATTGACCCACCCATGATGGTGCAGGAGTGGCGTGTGAATCTGCAGTACTGGAAGTCGTATGGAAGGTCACGGTTCAGTTCCCAGGTCAACCTGTACATGCCAGATGTGTACCATGCCTGTGGTCCTGGCTGGAGTGGGGAGATCCTGGTGTAAGGCCCCACTGAGGGTACATGTCTTCTCTCTCTCCTCTCTCTCTCCTCTCTCTCTCTCTCCCCCCCCCCCCCCCTCTCCCCTCTCTCTCTCTCTCTCTCTCTCTCCTCTCTCTCTCTCTCCTCTCTCTCTCTCTCTCCTCTCTCTCTTTCACAAAATAAATAAAATAAACTTAAAAAAACAACATCTTTCCTGGAGCCTAAGCAGAGCTTCTAGAGGCTAAGAAAATATCTTTTAAAACTATTAGGTCATCAGGAAAGTCATGACATAATTTTCTATGCAAAAGTGCATCATGACTTCCCCAACCACCCAATAGTCTGAATTCAGATATGGACACTTCTATCTCATCTTTTCATGCCCTGTGTCAGCTCACCCTCTTCAAAAAGCTTTATGATCGAAAGTGGCCAACTGACCTGCTAAACCTTCCTTTCCCTCTGCCTTTTCCACTCTCTCCCCACAGTCTGAAGTGGGTTCTCCCTCCTCTAAATTCCTATGGTTTTTTCATTTGAACATCTAGTAATATTGAACGACAGTTGTCCATACTCTTTTGGTCAGAAATAATGGCCTCGAAGATTTCCACATTCTAAACCCCACAGAGATGTCAAAGATGTGGTTAGGACCTTGAGGGGTGATACGTCTCCTCAACTATTAGAGAGGGCCCAATGTGATTGCAAGAGTCCTTACGAGCACAGAGCCTCTCCTGGCTATTGTTGGCAAGAGGAGGATGTGATGACAAAAGGGTCAAAAGATGCAACCTTACTGACTTTGAAGACAGAGGAAGGAGCCACAAGCCTAAGAAAGCAGACAGATTATTGAAGCTGGGAAAAAACAAAGAATGAATTCTCTTCTAAAGCTTCCAGAAGACATCCCTGCCTACACCTTGACGTTAGCCTGGCATGAGCTTTGTAGGACTTCTGGCCTCCTGAAATACATGAAATAAGGAAATAAGCACGCCTGGGCATTGGTCATTTCCAATCAGGAGTTGGAATTTCCTAGTGCCTGGCAAACCCTAAGGAGCCCCAGCCTTAGAACAGGTGGTACAAGGCCTTTCTCTGGGCTCGGGCACAGCTCGGGAGGAGATATCCTTTTTAAGGAGTGACAAAAGGTGCTCCCCTTCCACCTACTCCATAGG